AATTCAAGGATATAAGGATGTATTAATAGCTCAGCGTTTGTTGTTCTGGTCATCATTTACAGATGGATATTGAGGAAATGTAAATTTTACATGACAGAGTAGTCTAATACTCCTTTTAAAAGACTTAACAGGTAGTACAGCACCCTTAAAAGCACTGAAGGACTAAGGAGAAAACAGTTGACAACTACCTAGCTCCTCTGTGAGATTGGGGGTGCTCCGCCAATGTATTGGGCCATCCTGGTATGTCTTCATGGATGCTGAGCTTATTTGTTCTAATAAAAGCTGAAGTACTGAGGCAGAGTGTTACTTCTATAATGTCACGCCTGCTCATTTGTATTTCAATATACTTTGCTAAAATAGGGGTAGAATTACAACTGATAGGTCAAGAAGGTGGGTATAAGCTACAGTCTAACTTATGTTTGCCTCCATTCAGGAAAGAATGTTAAGCCATAAGATTATTATCTGGGGCTGGGGAGATGGCTCAGTGGAATAAGCGCTTCCCTGGCAAGTGCAAGGGCCTGAGTTCAATCCCCGGTTCCACCAAAAAAAACCCAAAAAGATCATTATCTATCTTGGCTGGGGGCAGGGAATATGGAGCACATACATTATGCTACTGTAGACCTTCTCCTTAGATGGGGACTGTGCCTTTTCTTTTCAAAAAAGAAATGTGCCAGTGCTGGACAGTTTGTTTGTTTGTTTGTTTCTTTTTTTCTTTCTTTCTTATGTATTTAGTACAGGGTCTACGGGGTCTCACTACATAGATCAAACTTGTAGTGATCCTCCTGTTTTCAGTCTCCCAAATGCTGGGATAACAGGCCACCACTCCCAGTCTCAATTGCTTCTCAGTGTGCCCCGGGGGCGGGGCCAGCATGGCACCCTGGGATCAAATCTGGGCTGCTGCCTAAGCAGGTGCTTTAGTCCACTGTTATCTAACCAGCCCAAAGTAATCTAGAAGATTCTTTATTTACTTTTTATTTTGTGGCTGTATTGGTCAGGGTTTTTACTTAGAGGAACAGATATTAACACAAGATATACCATGTGTAAGGAATTACAAGGTTGGCTTAGGACAGTCAGCCGCTGAGTCAGATGGGGGAATGTGCACAGGGCGTCTGCACACCCCAGACTCAGTTCAGTCCCAAGGTCTGAAGCTCACTGCTGTGCTCCGTGCAAGTCTCTATTCGTCAGCTGATGGGTCTGCAAAGGAAGACTGAAGAGTCTGTGATGGATGCAGAAGAGTCTGCGACGGAAGGTGAAGGATCAAGCCGGAGGTGGAAGAGTCTGCGCTGCAAGCCAGGCGATGAAGTCCAAGCCGAATGCGAAGACTGAAGCTCCTCCGACGAAGTGGAAGGTCCACTACTTCCTCAGCCCCTTTACATGGTCTCTTTGTGCCGAGTCACTCTGGGGGGCAGAACCAATTGTGCCCCAGGGCAGGACCCCCACCAACCGGAAGTGCACCGCAGAGTCTTCGGGTCAAGATGACACAATGTATCAACCAGTACAGTGGCCAGCTCAGCCCACCCTGGGGGCGGAGTTGGCATGGCCTACGGTGCCTGGGATCCAAACCTTTGTCCCTGTGCATTTGCCGAAGCTAGCCTAAGCAGGCACTTTATACCACTGAGCTATTTCACCGGCCCTGAACTGTTCAAGTATGTGAAAGCGAAGATTTGGGGATTGACCTATGGCAGAAGGAAAAGAAGTAGAAGACGTGATAAAAATTTTAAAGCAGGAATGAATGGAAAAGAGCAAAAGAACATCGGAGACTCATTATTTACTATCTTTTAAAGTATGTAAGGTTTTAACTCAACATAAAGGAAAGCACTCCAAAAACACCAAGCAGGTTAAATTGCTTAAACCAAGACTATGGCATCTAGGAAAGATGATCTCAAGTTCCTACCCTGTTTTGGTCTGTGGTTCCAGGTTTTTAATTTCCCCAACAATGCTTTCAATTCTGCTTGTTACATAGAATTGTATCTGGCAGTTACACAAAGGAGAAACAAATTGAGTTTCTGACAGAAAAGTTTATATTGAAGCTGCCCCTTGCCAGGGTCATGATGGGTGGCAGAAAGATGACATCTGCCATCGGAGTAGTCCAGGCAGTCAAGCCACATACACCTTCCCTAACGAAGAGACAATCCCAAATCCAGTGTATTAGAAGCTTTGAGACCCACAGGGAACTGGTCTCATTCTTCTGTAATTTTACAGCATTCTAAGGGTAGTAAGTTAGCTGCCCATGCATCCAGGTCCACCAGATACTGCAGGAATAATGAAAATTATGACCTCAGGAGAAGAGAAGGAAACGGATACCTCAAGAGGAAATGGAGTCTATCCAACATGGAGGTCCAGAATGATGACTGTGGCTTGCCATTTGTCATCAGACAAAAGACTTATCTTTATAATGAAGGTCTTCCAAAATGACACATGGAAAGTTATATATTAAATAACCTTAATATTCTGCAAAAAAAATGTATAGAAAATGTAGATAGATACTTGGATCTTCCAATTTACGTATCTTGGTCAGCTTCTCCACAAGCTTACCTAATTGTAATATACTTTATACTTATTAAACTATACATTTGTGTTAAAACACTTTACTCCTTGAAGTATTCATTTTTTTGTGAAGAATTTGGTGAATGAATCTGTACAATTCAACATTAGTTTCTGTCTAAAGATACTTAAGAGTCTAACAGGCACAGAACTGATACATTTTAGGGCTGTCCAAATAGCTCAGCAGATTAAAGCTCCTGCAAACAGGTGCAGGGGCCAAGGGTTAGATCCCGGGGCCTGCTGTACTGTGCTGGCCCTGTCCCCAGCCATGCTGAGATGGTGATTGAGACTGGGCATGGTGGCGCATGCCTGTAATCCCAGCTCTTGGGAGGCTGTAAACAGGCGGATCACTATAAGACCGATCTAGTAGTGAGACCCTGAACACCCTGTGGACCCTACCCTAAAAAATACAAAAAAAAAAAAAAAGAACTGATACATTTTGTGATCATTTTCTTTTAGATTTAAAGCAATAATGGAAGCTTGCTTGGCTGGTTTTTTTTTTTTTTTTTAATGTATTTAGTACAGAGTCTATAGGATCTCACTACACAGATCAGACTCCTAGTGATCTTCCTGTTTTCAGCCTCCCAAGTGCTGGGATTACAGGCCAGTGCCACCATGCCCAGTCTCAGCCACAGTCTCAGTGCAGTCCAGTGGTGGGACCAGCAAGGCAACCCTAAGATGGAATCAGTTCACTGGCCAGCCCATGCTTGACTAAGTTCTAAATGTGATGGACATTGCAAATAATTTAAGATGCTCTTTTGCAATGTGTGTCAGTAGCTGGAATAGAGAGGACTGTTTTTGCTTTGTTGTGATCCTAAAACAACAAAGGAACTCACAAGGCAAATAGGGTCAAGCCAGTAACTGCTGTTGCTTTTCTGTAAACAAAGATTTAATTCTCCTCCCCTTCTGGCACTGGGGATCAAACTCAGGACCTCCACTTGCCAGGCAGGCATGTAAGCCACTGAGGTACATCTCCTGACCAAGACTAAATTATTATTATTATTATTTTTTTGGTGGAACTGGGGATTGAACTCAGGCCCTCTTATTCTGCTGAGCTATCTCCTCGGGCCCCCAAGATTAAATTCTTAACGTTCAAAATAAGTACACTCCATAATACAGTGGGATCTTGATTATCTACAGCTACTTGGTATATTCCTTGCTTAACTAGAGTGATTGTTAAAGTCTCAAAGACTCAGACTTCCATACCCTCTGATGTCTTCCTCCAAACCAAACAGTGCCACTTTGGTTTCATAAAAAGAGAAAATCAGCACAGTTGGGTAATTTTCCATAAAATTTCCTTTTTCGTTTTTAACGTTTTTGTACTACTTCATGAAGAATGCATTTTTTGCCCATTGATAGAGCCCAAATGTGGTGACACTGCAGAACTGACTATGACACTGCTTGTTTTTTAAAGTGATACACTTGATTTTGCTTCTTAAGAATGGAACTGAGGGGAAAAAGTCACTTCAAGACTACTATAAATATTCATTTCCCCCCTTGTAATGTTAAGGGTTCCATTTATATAAATAGACTCACTGGAAGTACAATTATGTGCCAGTTGATCTAGCTGATGTAACTAAATTTTAGGCACTAAAGTTTACCTTGTATTTATACTTTTAAAATATTCTTATACATCAAACGTTCTGGATAACAGCAGTCTTCCCGAATACATGCGCATCCAAGCCTGCTCCTTGTAACAGGAAATTTCAGGATAACACCGAGAAGCAAAGACTGACAAAGGCTACTTCCACTGTCGTGGTGCTCAGCAGCAAATTACCGGCTCACAGTTTAATGTTTTTGGACCAGTTATTCATGTTTACATCTATTAAACTGAACACCTAATCTGAAGACAATATGTAATACAACAACCGTTGCTGAATTCCTATCATTTTGTTTAGTGAAATTCTGTATCGTTTCTAATTTTATTTTATTTTTTTTTAACTTTTAAAAATTCTCCTTAAAAAAAAGTAAGTGGGGGAGGGAAGCAAGAGGGAATTTGGCAGAGATGCAAGTGAGAACTCCCCACCTCTAGAGTCCATCTGAGAAGATGGGAAGATGAGGGAGCAGGCGGGAGGGCTCCCCTGCCGCGGTACCCACCCTCACGCTGCGAGCGCACCCTGCTCGCCGCGGAGCGGAGCGCCGATCCCACTGCGGGCCCCGCGCTGCCCCACTCGGCATCGCCCGCCATCCCACCCGGCTCGCAGGTGGGCGAGCGCGCCAGTCCCGCGGGCCGCCGGGGACGGGGACGGGGACGGGGACGGGGACGGGGACGGGGACGCGGACGGGGACGCGGACGGGGACGCGGAC